AATTTTTACAATTTGCTACTTGAGTCTTTGGCTTGAAAGGAAACCTTGAAATTGAAAATTAAAGAAAAAAATTAAAAATATTCCTTCCATACAATTCTGAGTATTGTCTATGAGCAGGAGTATTGATCTAACATGAAGAAAGTTTCACAATGCCTAGCTTTCAGAGAGATGCAAATACATTGTTTTAGTAACTAGAAAGCAGCCTACCTAAAACCAACTCCCCAAAGTCCTTCCCAGTGAGATGTGGTGAAACACTTGAAACTGATCACTGATAGAAAAATAGTTACAAGGGTAACTTTATTTTTCATTTCAGGAGTGTGCATGAGAAAGAGGTGATTGTTAATAAATTCCAAATACGGGTTCATGTAATCATTTCATCAGTCTGGTTTTAGCAAATCTTTGATTGCTTGATGTAGGTTCTTTCCCTAATTCCTCTTTCTTTTTTTTTTTTTCCTTTTAAGTACATACATGTGTCAATCAAGCATGTTGTTTTTCTTTGATCTGGTACTGGTCTCAGTCCTTGGGCTGAAATCTGTGGACAGCTTCTCCAAGTACAAAGTTGAAAGGTGGGCTGTGTCTGAATGGTCTCATTGCTGAGATATTCCAAAGACTTAGGGGGTTGTCCTCAACAACTGCACAACCCTCCCACTTCAGCAATGTCAACAGAGATTTGTCAAGTTGTAGCCTTTACTCAGGCAGCTCTAGCATTTTATTAATCCAAAATAAAATATTATCCTTTAAAGCAAGATCTTAATATTTTTAAAAAATTACATTTTAGGTTATATTAGTTAATTGGAAAGATTGTTTTAGGAATTCCTAAAACATAGAATAATTTCTATGGTTTTGTCTCAGTAGGATGATATTAACACAAGACCTGGACAGTATTAACTGCTATATAATTTTTTTACTAGTATTTTGTGTAGCTAAAAATTTTCTAGGAAACAAAAGACGGAACTCAAGTGGAACAGCAGTCTTCTAATTGGTTTTGTCCTTTGATTACATTTGACCATCAAGGATGACATAAGATTTGGAATAGAACATTGATGTTTAGTGACATGTTTAAATTTCCTGCTTACCTTTGGTACATAGACTTTGTTTGCTTTTTCTGGAATGACTGTAGTAGCCATAAACTAACGATTTGCAAAGTCTAAATACGACTATTTAAAGCTTGTATTAAAAAACTTCTATTATATGACTCAAGTGAAAAATAGAAGAATTTTTGCTTCTATTTTATTTAAACAAGTTAAATTTGTCACCTTTGCAACATGTAAGCAAAACTGAAAATGGCAAAGAAAAGGCTTGGAGCTAATTAACTTCTTGTAATGCTTTGTGGGGGCACTAGTAGGGATTATTGTTGTTGTTGTTGTTGTTGTTGTTGTTGTTGTTGATTACCATCAAGCATGACTCATAGCGACCCTATGAACAAAAAACCTGAAGCCTTTCTATAACTATCATCATTTCTCAAGGTTCATAGAGTTTACAGAGGCTTAGTGGATAAAGCTACTTACACAGAAGTAATTCCATCTGCCTGGCAATTACCATTCATGTTTATTTATCATTGTTAGCCTCAGAAGAAATAACAGCAGCAAGTTTCCCAGAGAAATCATTTTATCTTAACCATGTTTACTAATTAAATTCTATCCACCAATATTTGTAAGACATGACATACATTGTTTATCAAAACACTAAGTTCCACATAACTTGAGACATTCAGTCCTGCCTGCCTTACTCTTTAAATTAGCCTGAAGATTTATATTCCACCAAAGATGAGCTATAATGCAATTAGTCTTCTTTCAAATCAAGAAGATTAACAATTACTTGAGCCATGGCCACTGTCATTAGGTACAGTAATTTCAAGTTCACTTTTAAATTCCACAAGAGCTAGCTAGTCACAATAATTAATCATAAAACATAACCAATCCAACTTTAATATTAATTTAATTAAAATGGATTGTCCCACTTCAAAATGTTTGACTGCATTCATTGTCGACAGGTTCTGGGATGAGGAATTTTCTAGAGACACTTGCAGTTGTTACAGTCATTTTGCAATTACGTAGTTTCCCAACCAACTCCTTATTACTACTGAAAAAAAGTTAGAATCAATGAAGCATTGGTAAGATTAATCACACTCTAGAATTATGGACTAAGCATTACCCAGTTCAGACTTTCTGATTCAGGAGGCTATGAAAATACGTAAAAGGTGAACACAAAGCTATCCTTGATCACATCACATCACAGATTTTTTTCAGGAATCACAAGATATGAGAGGAAAGGGCTATAGGGAAAGACAAGGTGGGTGAGCTGTTAAGGCTGCATCTCCTTCTACCTTTGAATAACCATTTTCCTTCTTAAAAACCATACTTCGGAACCTTCTCAGGGTAAACTGAAAGAAAACATTTGCAGTTGGATTCTAGCAGGAAGTTGTTGGTTCTTGGGCATGCAAGTCTTTGTGTGAAACTGTTCCAAGAAATAATCTCTTCCAAAAATATCTGTAATAAGAAGAAGAAAAATGACATGAAAAAAGCATCATAAGATCTTTTCTTTTTAAAAAAATTTTTTTAGTCCTTCCCAGAAACAATAGTACTAACGTTAACCATATTGGCATGTTTTTAATGGGCAACTCTAGAGCCTCGTCCTTAGAGAGCTGAGCTGCTAACTTACTTCAAATCCACCAGTCTGCATGGGAGAAATGTGAGCAATCTCCTCTCATGTGAGATTTACAGCCTCCAAAAACCAACTGAAGGGTCAGCTAGGAGTCCATTTCAACTCAACAGCAACAAGTTGGAGATTTACTTTTAAAAAAAAAAATTATTCTTAAGAAACACTTGTAAAAATGTCTGTACTATTTGAAATCTACATGAGACATTCATGAGACATGTCATGAAAGTAAATGAAGTTGATGTGAATGTGTTAGTGAAAATATTTTCATAAAGACAAATTTTATTCATTCTGCCAAAGAGAAAAATTCAGAAAGAGAATTGGCTAATGTGTATTTTAGTGTTCTTCTTCTATTTTCTTCTGTTGCTTAGGAACAAAACGAGTTAAAGATTTTACAAAAATTCTAAATCTATATGAGAATTGGAAAATATAATAATTATAGGATTTCAGATCATTCAGACATTTTTTTCAGACTGGGAGTATAGAATTTTGATATTTAGACCTTTTTTCCAATGAATAAATGGGAAAATCTTTGATGGAATCATTGTATTAGTTATCACTCAAGTACTGATGTTAATCTTTTTTGGAAATTTTTGGAAGCATGAAAAGCTCCTTAAACACACCTGAAATCATTACCTTTGAAAACACATTTTCTGTAAATTTTATTCCTACTTTCCTAAAGAAAATCAGCCTTAATTCTTGTCATTTCATTTTTCAAGTTAAGGTTAAAACGTGTTCCAAATTGGTAAATTTTTTTGTTATTAAGAAAGAAAGAAAGGGAAGACCACAATTTTTATTTTAATTGTGTTGCAATGATTCAATACAGTTTTATTTACCTACTTCTTAAAATAGGGGCAAATTACTCTTGGCACCAGTAGCCAGGAAATCAAAAAACATATTGCAATGGGAAAGTCTGTGGTTAGGGACCTCTCCAAAATACTCAAGAGCAACAGTGTCTCTCTGGAGACTAAGGTCCGCCTGACACAGGCCATGGTTTTTGCAATCACTTGTTATGCATCAGAGAGCTGGACAATGACTAGGGAGGATAGAAGGAGAATTGACGCCTTTGAGCTGTGGTGCTGGAGAAGAGTATTGAATGTACCATGTACTGCCAAGAAAACAAACAGATTCATCCTAGAGAGGGTTAAACCAGGCTGCTCCTTGGAGGCAAGGATTCTGGGGCTTCACCTAGAGAGGGACATCATGCTGGGTAGAGTAGAGGGACAGCGCAGGAAAGGAATACCCTCTATGAGGTGGATTGATTCAGTGACTGGAGTAATCGGGATGGGTGTTTCAGAGGCAGTGCGATTGGCACAGGATAGAGCAGGGTTTAGGGCTGTTGTACATAGGGTCACTATAAGTCGCAAACGACTTGACGGCACATAACAACAACAACAGGGGCAAATTTATTTAAATATCAATCAAAAAAGAAGTAGATAGAAGTTCTATTTGGGAATATAAGGTTAATAATTTTCCCATGGGTCAAATTCCTGGAACAAAAGTCTCCGTATTCAAAAAGTCCTAATCTCTTAAAAGAGGTGGCTGTAGAAGCAACAGGGGTAGAGAGTGTTTTACATTAATTCATTTCCTTTGCACGTTCACATTTGGTAGATCAATATGGCACATGTACATTTTGCACAAAGTCATAGGTTTATGCCCAGCTCCTGCTTCAGCCTGTAGTTCAGTCTCCTGGTGGGTAGAAATGCCTTTATTAACAAGCGCATTGCTGCTAGTTTTGCTCATTAACAGCTTCGTTGTGCATTTTGTGGCTCTGTGTGTTTTGTCTGCCGTTGTACAGGAATTCAGACCCATTGGTACCGCGCACAACAGAAGGGCTCAGCCTTTTGTTGCAGCTGCAAATATTGACGACAAAAGGCAGGTAGTGAGCGCTTCCTATAATTCGCCTATTGGGCTCTATTCAACTAGCAATATCCAAGACGCGCTCCACGGACAGCTGCGTGGTCTCATTCCTAGTTCACCTCAAAGGTAAGTACTTGACTTTCAATCTGTGGTCATAATGTTCTTAACGGCAATAAAACATTTTCTCTTCATTCCGAAAGTCCAGCTCTTGCAATTTCATTTTCATTTTTCTGGAGGCACAATTAGCTTTTTTTTGTTTTCAAGCAAGCATGGTTCTAATGTGCTAGAGACAAGTCAGCCAGTTACTGGGTATTCAGTGACTAGATGGTTAAAAAAAAGAAATCACTCTGTTTTTGTCACCCTTCTTAGTGATGTCAGTATTTGCTGGTAAACAATTCTCTCTGTAAAGTTTGTTTTACCTAAAGAAAACGTATCAACTTTCTGCTGAGGACCTTTTTTTTTTCAACTCTTTGTTTTCACAGGACATCAACTACTTTGAACACAAGCACAATATGAGGCCCAAACCTTTCATAATCCCAGGCCGAAGCAGGTCATAAACGCTGAGATTGTGAAGTTGCAGTGCATGCTTCTGCCATTAAATCCTTACTAATCACCATGCAAAGTAACTTTGAGGTGTTTGAAGTGACTTTGCTAATTTTGAGATTTGTTTCAAAAGCTAAAGAAACAAACTTCCATAGCAGAGAGAAGAGTTGTCAAAAAATCTGCATTCCCAAGAGTAAACATTGAGATGTTAGAGCTGTGGGACTTTATGCAATCCCCATGTGTATTTATAACTGATCCCCTGCAGCTCTGGGGATCCCATCCAGAACTCAGTGACCTTAAGTGTGACAGTTGTGCTCCAACAGTTCCAGGAAAGAGGAAACCCTTGGCAGGGAAGCAGGTAGCACTCACATGGGAACGCCCTGGGCAGCTTCTCTGCTCTTCCCATCCTGCCACCATAGCACCTGCCTGCCTCTTACTGCACCTTCAGGCCTTCAGAATCTGCTGGGAAAGCCTACTAATTCTACCTCTCACAAAAAATATATTTTCGAAGGAAGAGAGTCAACTTGAAGCAGAATTGTTTGCTGTGTAAAGAAAACTCCCTCAATCTAGATAAAGAAAGAATGGGGAAGAAGTGAGATCTCTTGGTCATTCTGTATCTTCCACCACCACTACCATCACCCCATAACCCCACCACCACCACAACCACTACCTCCACCCCATCACCACACCACCACCATCATCCGACCACCAACACACCACCACATCACCACCACTACCACCACCACCACCCCACCACCCCACCATTGTCCCACCACTAGAAGCTGTGGAGTTGAAAGACTTGAGTTGACGCTAAGTGTTTCAGCAAAGATCTGTGCTCCTTAGAGTTTTCATCAGATTTTTTTTTAAACAGATTACCATTCTCCTGAGTTCCCTCTGGGTAAACTAAGTCTCCCAGGTTAACCCTTTGCACCACCCAGGAACTTATTCTTGTATACTATTGGGTCATTATCAATTCATAGCTGACCCTCCAAAGGGTTTTCAGAAGCAGTAAATTGCTTGCAAGGGGATTGCCCATCTTCTTCATTGTGAATCAGCTGGTGGATTTGAACTCCATCCCTTAGGGTTAGCAGCCCAACTCCTTACTACTAAGCCATCGGAGCTCCCAAACCACCCCAATAGCAGCATACAAATTAGAATAACAATGGGGAAGCTCTTAATGGTTGTCTGTCAATCTAAGGAATGAATTATAATTGGATGATCTTTTATTAATATCTATCCTAGAAACTGAGTATCGGCTTAAGGGAGAAGAAATATCATGCCTTATATTTTGACAGCAGGAAATAAATACCTTAGGAAACTTCAAACCCACCCCTCTGACCAAAATCAATCCAAAGAAAGGAAGTTGAGGTCAGGCTAGAATGATCCTGATTATTGTTTTCCTATGCTGATCAATTGATTCCAACTCATAGGGACTCCATGTGACATAGAACTACTCACCAAGTTTACTTGGCTATGATCTTTACAGAAATCAATCATCAAATCTTCTCTCTCCTGCAACCTCTGTGTGGATTAGAACCTCAAACTCTCTGTTGTTTTGCTGTTGTTATGTGCCATCGAGTCGTTTGCGACTCATAGCGATCCTATGTACAACAGCCTTAAACCGTGCTCTATCCTGTGCCAGTCGCACTGCCTCTGACACACCCATCCCGATTACCCCAGTCACTGAATCAATCCATCTCATAGAGGGTCGTCCCCTCCTGCGCCGTCCCTCCACCCTCCCAAGCATGATGTCTCTCTCCAAGGACCTGTCCCTTCTTGCAACAGGCCCAAAGTATAACATCCAAATATTTAACCATTGCACCACCAGGGATCCTTTGTAACGTTAATACCAGTGAATAATAATCAGCATCAACTGTCCTAAACCAGCAGCCTATTAACACTGCTTACTGCTGTTCGGTCTGTTCTGACCCTTAGTGCTCGTGTTGTTGTTGTTGTTGTGTACCGCAGAGTTGGAACTGACCCATAGTGACCCTCTAGTGGGTTCTCAGGGGTAATAAGTCACACAGGAGGAGATTGCCCATCCTCTCCCGGAGCAGCTGGGGAATTAGAACTGTATGCCTTTGGGATTGCAGCACAGCTTTTTATTACTAGGCTAGGGTCAATAAATCTTCTTAGAAGACAATCACCACATCTTTCTTCCATAAGATGATGGGTTAAAATTGACAGCCTTTGGATTAGCAGCTAAATGCTTTAGTCCCTTCACCACCAGGGTTCCTGATAGTTCTTACCTGAAAGAAGCCCACTTTCACAGGCTTTTGAGGCTGTGAATCTTTACTTAAAAAGACTGCCCATCTTTTTGTGGAACACCTGGTGGGTTTAAAGTGATGTTGATTATTATTCAATGGTCTTAACTAGTTACAAAAGATCCCTGGTGGTGCAATGGTTAAGTATTTGGATGCTAACAGAGGGTTTGAGGGTCTAATTTGTTAACAGCCCAACATGTAAGGCAGAAACTACCAGAGCGCCTTTGGTGGCCCTGGATTGAATCTCCAGGCATGTTTTATTTTACCCTCCTGATGTTTACAGACTTAAAATGTTTAGATGAAATGAACACTCTACAACCTATCAAAATGTCCACCACGCCTAACTGTGTTCTTCTTCCTTGGCCATTTTCATATATGTGTGACTTACCTGTCACAGCAGACATCTGAGTTACGACCCTGCTATAAATGATCATTCCTTCACGTAGGATCTCTGTAAGCTAAAGTCTGGACCAGCGGATTGCCTCCAAATAACTTAGAGAATTTCCATGATAACCACATTCAGAAAGGAGCATTTAGAGTAAGAAAAGTAGAGAAAGAAGCTACGAAGGAATGGATTACCAAATGGTCCTTTTTTCCTCCTATGCTTCCCCAAGAGCTGATCTAGCTTCCAAATCTCTTGTCCTCACCTAATGGTCCTTCATCGCAGTAGGGTTTTTGTGGTTACATGTCACCCTCTTAACTATACTATTAATGGACTACTTAACTGGTGTGTTGTTGTTTTATTTTTCATCAGAAGTAAGTTGGAGATGCTACACTGCTAACATGTTCATCTCTCTGAAACTTGGCTCCTAGCTGTGATTTTTATAATTATTTTACCACGATTGATGCATATTAAAAACTAGTACTTTTGGCTAAAAAAATACACTTATCATTAAAAGTAAATATGAGATTTTATAGATCTTCATAATGATACAGGATAGAGTACAATTCAGATCTATTGTTCTAGGAGTTGATGGCACCTGACAACAATAACAATAACAGCAGCAATAAAATGCAACTCATCTAGCTGCTTTCTTGACAGTGTTTCTAAAAATCCCTAAACATGTTTGCCTGTGGTCAGAGAAGTTAGTTGCTGACTTAGCAAACATAAGGCAATTTATTATCAATCTTACAGATGGTCTCGCCAAATCAAAACATCATCCTCAAGATAGTTCATCACCTACCTCTCCAGGTCACCAGCTACAGGTCATGGTGGCTCTTGTTAATATCCACAGTGACTGGAGTCCATAAAAAACCCTTTTTTAAAAGCAACAAGTATTTTTAAATTGGCCATAAAGGTGGAGGTGGTGGTTCTCATTTGCTTCCAGTTTATTTCCTAATATTCAATAGACATCAGGCCCTATATAGAATAATAAAGGAACTAAGAAAAGAGAAGACCCAATCTTTTCTTAAATTCATGCACAAGCATGCAGGAATATGAGAAGACTTCTTGTTGTTGTTGTTGTTAGGTGCCATCAAGTCAAGTACGAGTCATAGTGACCCTAAAAACAAAAGATCTGAACCCTGTTCTGAACATTATTAACAAAAAAATAATTCTGGGAGAGGGAATGGAGGGAAGAAAATGTGCATCAAAATAAAATTACAAATTAAAAAATGATGTTAAAAAAGAAAACATTTCTATTTACAACTATAAAACAAAATATATATTTATGTTGTACGCTTATCATACCTTTATGAATAAACAATTACAAATAAACAATCCATTGGCAATCTGCCTGCCTTGAGTACTAATCATAACCTACTATTTAATACTTTTCAATGAATTCTAGTTTTTCCTTTTATGTAATCCGTGCTGACCGAACTTGTATTGACTACATCTCATTGAATCCATATTAAGGAAAGAGGAAAGTGAATTCTGGTCAAGTACTTTCTCTGAAAGGATGCCAAAGCCAGACTGTCCATGACACATGTAGTCATAGTCGTTCATAAGGGTTTTTTTGAGTCACTATTTGGAGCCAACGTTGTGAAGGATGTAACTTCGTGTTTCAAACTCCAAACTATGATTTTATATGCTTCTTTACATCCAGGCCAAAACAGTAGAACTCACATTAACCTGTGCCACAACTGAAAATTGATATTTATTCTTTTCCCAGATGAAGGTAGTTTCTGGAGCAAGCGTAGGGGTAAGTCTGTGAAAATGATGAATAGGCCACCTGACATTTACTTTATGTTCTGACCAGTTTACAGACTGAGGTTTTAACAGGCATTCGCCAGTCAGGAAGTGAAGGAGCCTGTCAGATTTGCCTTCCTTGTTTAGGCTGTAAAGATAGTTGACTTGGTTAAAACAAGACAAAAAGTTTTAAGCATTCTCTTTACTACAATGGATTGTCCAGACCAATCAGGCTGGTTACTAACAGTGATAAAGTTGACACAATTACTGCCCCAAACCTTTTGGGTTTTGCTATCCATAAGGAACTATCATCATCTTTAGTAGTGAGAGTGAATGCAGATATGGAGCCACCCTTGAAACCTAGAGAATGCTGGTGTTAAGATAAACACACAATTGAAATCTGTTCTGTCTTGACTTTACAGAAGGCTAACCAGCAGGCCTGGGAGATGTTTACTTTAATACTAATACCTTTTTGGCTTTATCTTTTAAGACTGTGCTTTTCTTTTCCTTTTTAATCTCTTAGTTGATTGTCTTCTTACAGAATTCATCCCTCATGCTGTACTTAAAATGCATGTAGAAAATGAGTTCTTGTCATTGGCTCTGTCTATTATAGCCTCTTATCCGGATTCAGAGAGACTATGAAACCTTCCTAATTGTCTCTAAACTTGCATGAGTGGCCTTTATGATGTTCTAATAATATTTCTCTTCCAATTTGTCCTTTTAAGGAAATGAGAAATATGCATGCATGCTTCCAAATTTGTATGCAAAATTACTCTGCCTAAAGAAATAAATAGTAATTTATTGTTGCCCTACAGAGTGTCCTAAAAAATCAGAAATCACTTTATTTGCCCCCTGATCATTTATTTCTAGGCAAAAAGCATTTATTGGCTTTTTCTATAGTCTAAATCAAACCACTTAATGGTCTTTTAAAGTGTATTCTTCACTAATGAAAATAGAAAATGGACGAAAATGCTGGCACTAAAATATTTACTAAATAACTTTAAACCTCATTCTTCCCACATAATTTATAATCTCTCAATTATTATTTAAAGTTCAACTGCATTACTGTATTGTAAAAAGGAAACATCCTTTTTACCTTGAAATATTTAGCTCAAATGTTTAACTGAATCTTCACGCTTCATATTCAGTGGCAATTTGCAAAGGACCATTCATTGATATTTTAATTTTAAATATTCAATGTCAGATACAAATACATGTAGAGTCAATGTACTGTTTCAGGATTATTTGATATTAAGTTTAAAATTATTTGGCCTGTTTTTGAAATTCAAGGATAGTTACATTTTTTCCTACATTTCATTACATTGTTCCTACATTTCATTTTCAACAGAGAGTAGCTTTTAGAACAAAGCCAAAAAAATGCAATATCACCTGTACATTTTAATTTTGTAAAACTTTTCCAGTCACGGATTTTAAAAAAAAAATCCTTTTAAAAAAAATAAATTCTTAGCAGAAAGAATAACTTTGTTTCATTTGCTGTAGTTCACCTCTTCCTTTTTTGTCTTCAACTCATTTAACCTCTCTGTACTTGTTCTCTGTGTTCTCATGTCTGCATTTTCTGGTCTTTTGTGTCATCTCCGTGTAACGTGGTCATTAACACAGTGGATGCAGTACTCCTTCCGGTATTGATGGTGGCAGTGGACGTAGCACCCCTTCTTCTGTCAGTACTCTTAGTACTATTTGCCCAGGTGACTTGAAAGTTGCTGCTAAGATGGCCCCTAACATTCCTTTGGAAATGGACCTTCCTGGTGTGAAGATTGTACATGCTCAATTTAATACACCTATGCAGTTGTACTCAGATGACAATATTATGGAAACACTACAGGGTCAGGTTTCAACAGCTCTAGGGGAAGCGCCCTCCGTGAGGTAATACGGGTCTTTTTGTACCATGGGCATATTAACTAAACATGTGGGCAATGTCAAGTTTTCTGGTGTTTTTTACTGTTAAGTTTTAATTGAATGAATACTTTGTGGGAAACTTTCTTTAAAATGCAAGTGATTTCTTAAAAATATCTAGCAAAATTCCAACAAATAATGGAGACTAGAGAAATTAAGTTTTCTGCAATAGCAATAAAATGAAATCATGAAAAGGCTAAATATTTATGTCTGTTGAAAGCTACAAATATCTAGAATAATATTTCTCATAAAGATTTGCAATCTAGCTACCCATTATATCTGCTTTGTGGGGCAAAAAAGAAATGAGTAGAGATGGTAGGTTTGGAGGAGATTTAAGAAGTAACACTTCTCTTTCATACTGGTAACTTGTGGTAATTATATTTTTGTCATTTTTGCCAATGGCAAAGATTTATTAACGAATCCTTCCCAATAGTAATATAGATATTTGTCACTGACCATTGTTCTAATTTCTTCTGTACTATAAATATTTATTCAAACTACTTTTATCACCAAACTATTTTAAAGATGTATCAAAAGATAAAATTTTATTTCTTTCATTCTTATAGCATCACTTTTCCTTTTTAAATATCATACTAAGAGTACTATGAAATAATAAGTTAGTAAAGCTATCTCTCAGAATAAGTACAATGATTGAGCTAAGACTATAATATCCACCACAATTTCCAAGGAATTTTAGATATATAAATTTATTATTTTCAAATATATTGTAAGGAATAAAAACATGTGCAACTAGTAACTATCTTTCTAGATAATATTATTAAATTACATAGTAATAAAGCAATTAGTATCTGGCAGTAATATTGCAATATCTTTTTATTACTCATGATGAGTATATTTTTGAAAGTATAGTAAAGTAAAGCTGCTACCATTTTTGGTAATGATCTATAATGGAGCTATTTAAAATATATAATGTAGTCAGCATAACAGGTTAAGTATTAGATGCTTCCAAACATCGACAATTTTAATTTCTTCAGTTTACAAGGAAAAATGTTCATTTTGTTCTTTCGAGCAATTAACCTAGCAAATTAAGCTTTCAAAATTAAATGAGGCTCGTTCACTTTAATATCAAAAAGTGAATCTGAATTTTATTAGCAAATTTGCGACAGAAAATAATCCATTTGGGCTCATTCCTACACTATGTATGCAGCTTTTTTTTCTGAAAGGAGTTCACTTTGTTCATGGTTGTGTTTACATTTCCTTCAGGCACAGATCTTAGGCCTAAAAATTGTCATTTCCCAGCAGTCTCCTTTCAGTTGCCCTGCATACTAGTCCACTGTTCAGGTGGCTCGCAGGTTAATTGCTCCACTACATTTTCATGGCAGCCCACGTCAACGTTCGCGATGTGTTTTGAACTGTCATAGAGATGAGCTTGACAACACTAGCGCTGCTGTGATCACGGTGAGCACTGCTCACCAGGCCTGGTGGCATCCGCCGCCTTCTGCCTCTGGCTCCTGATGCGCTCCTGTTCTCCTCATGTTTCAGTGAACCCGCGGCCTCTGTGCCCCCTCATTCGGATGTGTACCGCATGCTCCACGACAACCGCGACACGCCCGCGCCACCTCGCCAGTCTGGCTCCTTCCGAGTGCTCCAGGACTTGGTCAATGATGGCCCAGGTGAGAAGACACGGATGTCCACCGACATGGTGTTGATAGAGGCAAGAGGTGTAGGGGGTTGAAGAGAAAGGGGCTGCAAGCATACCACAGGCAGGGAGATCTGAAACCTGGCTGTCATCAGGGATCAAATGCATCTTTGCTCAGAAGGACGTGAGAAGTGTGTGCCTGTCCGACTCCAAGTGACATGCATGTTGCTACAATGCTGGCAGCTATTTCATACAAGCAAGGTCGCCCATGGTGGGCAGGTTTCAGCAAAACTTCCAGACTAAGAAAGAGTGGGAAGAAAGGCCTAGAACTGCTTCTGAAAACTAACCAATGAAGACACTATGCATCGCAATTTAATGCAAGCATAGCGGTAACCATGAAGATGGTACAGGGCAAGGCAACTTCTGCTTCAATTACGCAGAAAGTGAGACAAAGCTAATGGGACAGCACTGAAAAAGCATTCTGATCCAAACACACTGCTAAGTCCTTCGCCCATAGCTACCTCATTTAATCCTGACAATAACTCAGTAAGGAAAGACTTTTATTTTCCTTCTTTAACAATGAGGAAGCCAAGACTCAGAGAGAGCCCATTTCTTCAAGGGTACACAGCCAGGAGAGGCAGAGCTGAGTCTCCAGCCCACTGCTGCTGCCTTTGGCGATCATAAACTTTCCAGTGCTTTCCACCCCTAAAGATTCCTGTCCCTCAATCAAATCCATTGCTGTTGAGTCAGTCCTGACTCAGAAAGGCACTCCATCAGGCTTCCAGGACTATAAATCTTTATGAGATTGGACCCACACATACAGTGTCACTGGTGGATCCAAACCACCAACCTCTAAGTTCAGTCAAGAAACACATCACCATTGAGTCAGAACCGACTCATAGCTGACCCTCCAGCAAGTTTTCGGAGGCTATAAATCACATGGGAGGAGATTGCCCATCTTTCTTCCACAGAGTAGCTGATGGATTCAAGCTACCTGCCTTTGGGTTGGCAGTGCATCCTTTCGGTTAGCAGCCTGATACATTATATACCACACCACCAGGGCTACTTGTACTTTTAAAATTGCACAAAATATGCACACCCATGTTTATCTTTGTTCACAATAGCAAAGAGTTGGCAACAACCCAAGCGCCCATCAACAAACGAATGGATAGAGAAGCTGTGGTATATTCACACAATGGAATACTACACTGCACTGAAAAACAAGGAACTTAGGAAGTATTATACAAAATGGTTGACCCTGGAGAACATTAGAATGACTGAGTGAAATATTTCAGTTAAAAAAAAAAGTTGCACAAAAACATTCAGTATTCCTTTGAGCATTTTGTACTCACTCCTTCCAACAACAAATGTTCTAACCAATCCTTTCTGTAAAACCCTTCATTCAGAACAGTCTTTTATGCTCAAATTGACGCTGCTCCTTCTTACATGTGCAGACACAACTTAAGAATTCCTTAAGTTAACGAGTACACCTTAAAATAGAAGCAAAGTCCAAAGCGTGGCCAGCTGTTCCCTGGCTGTAAATGGAAGCACTTTGTTTTTCAGATGACCGTCCTGCTGGAACTAGGAGTGTAAGAGCTCCCGTTACCAAAGTCCATGGTGGTGCTGGTGGCCCGGGAGGCGCAAAGATGCCATTCTGTGACAAGTGTGGCAGTGGCATTGTGTAAGTTTCCTTTTTTAACCCAGGAATTCACTACAAAACTTAGAGGTAGTGCTTTATTTCTTAGACTTTAAGACTTTGTATATGAAAGGCAATTATGAAAAACCTTAACATATGATTTAATTTTCACACCATCTTAACACATCTAAGGAATCAGCATCCCTTTTAGAGGTCCTCTTAAATAGGCATGTGACTAAAAATATCAGTTTTTATTTTGAATGTCAACTACATTCTTACGGAGAGAAAAATGGGCCAAACAGAATATTAAAAATCAAATTGTAGAACAATAATTTTCATTTCCACTTCAAGTCTCTGGATACTCTTTTTCTGTATAAACTCAGGAAAGAATAGAAGCATCAGGTTGCTTATGAAAACATGTTATCCTTACGCAGTTCCTCAACTTGTACATCTGTTAAGACACAATTTTTGAAGTATTATCAGTTTGCATTTCTAGGGACTTTGTGTTTCAACATCCACATTTGCAAGCAAACTAGATCAGTTTAACCTCACCCTGGGACATCCCCAGCACAGCGGCTCCAGACATGCCTTTATTCTTTTCCTCTGCTTTTAATGCACAGGTGCCATCTGCCAGATAGGCACTAGGCATCCCTAGAGGCCAAGGGAGATAAGTCCAGACCAAGAAAGGGAGAAAGGTAGAATGTAAAGGGGAAAGGCAGGCAGAGAGAGCCACAGTAAACTCCGCTGTTCATTATGTTCCAAAAGCAATTATTACCCTGAAGTAAACTGTTTTGACAGTAGAGGCAATTCCTCCCACTCCCTGGAAATTCCATCTCTGCTCTTTGATCTTTTTCTATGCATTCCATAAAGAGGGCCTGGACCACCAAAATAGAACCCAATCTAGCTGTATAGACAACACTCTTGGTCACAATCAGGACCCTTTGCAGTCGTGTTTATCTCATCTGTACCATGTCCGTCCTCTTTCAAAGAAACTGTAGGGAAAGATAGTGAAGTAGGATTCTACAAATTTCTATCTGTAAACTACTGTCTAAAAGGCTGGAGTGGATTCCGTAAACACCAGAGAGAAACTCGAGAGGGTTAGGCGGTGCGCCTGGACCTCCCTGACAGGGACAGCTTTTCCCAGCTGCGCTGCATTTTACAGCTGGAGGCCGCTGCTTCCTGACCGTACAGCAGATAGCGTCTGCCTCGTGGGGAGTGTTTCCTCCCTTCATAGGTTATTTTTGGGTTAGTGGGTTTTCACTTGACCTTATTTTCTCCTCCCCACCTCCCCATAGGGGTGCGGTCGTGAAGGCACGGGATAAGTACCGCCACCCGGAGTGCTTCGTGTGTGCTGACTGCAACCTCAACCTCAAGCAAAAGGGCTACTTCTTCCTGGAGGGAGAGCTGTACTGCGAGACCCACGCGCGAGCCCGCACCAGGCCCCCTGAGGGCTATGACACGGTTACTCTTTACCCCAAAGCTTAAGCCTGTGAGACCGGGCCCACACACACACTCAACAGCGCGCATTTACACACAAAGACGTTCCTGGCTTTGGCCAGGAGGAGAGCAAACTGTCGCCTCCAAAAGTAAAGCTGAGGCTTTTAAGCATTTGTTGTGTACTGGGGAGGAGGAATGGGAGGCACATGCCTGCTTTACGACAAAAGCGTACAATTTTATTCTGTTTTGCAACTCTTTTTATCTAGCAATAACATATGGAGCAATAATTTTTGTATGCTCTCCTCCAAAATCTACATAGATAACGGTGACCATCAAACACAAAGGCATCAGGAAACTTTGGAGAGTCTTAATGTCTTTCCTTAACAAATTAAACAATTGTTGTAAACACCAAATAACAACCATGTATTGTAGCACAACCGGCAATTGTCTGTGTTTTAATTCTTGTAGTGCATGTCAGGGAGAAATTCTCTGAGTTTCCTTGGTTTCTTCTTTAAAAAAAAAAAAAA